GAAAGGGACATCATGTTTGGCAGAGTGGAGGGGAAGCGAAGGAGAGGAAGACCTTTGGTGAGATGGATCGATTCTGCGACTGGAGTGGTGGGAATAAGTGCATTTGAGATGGCTAGGTTGGCACAGGATAGAACAGCATTTAGAGCTCTTGTACATAGGGTCGCTATGAGTTGCAAGAGACTTGATGGCACATAACAACAACAACAACCTCAGTTAAGTTATCCATCCACAATCAGGAATCACGATTCCTTAGTAACTATACATCAATGCTACTATAATTCAGATATATGCTACTATAATTCTACTATGATTCTATAATGCTACTATAATTCAGATATATGCACTAACAACCAGAGCCAAAGAAAAAGAAAGAAAAGATTTCTAGCAACTTTTGCAGTCAAGAGATCGATTAAACATGCAATCAAGATGGGTTAATAATAATGGATGGCTGGAATGCAAAAGTTGGGAACAAAGAAGAAGGATTAGTAGTTGGAAATCACGGACTTGGTGACAGAAATTAAGCTGGGGATAGAATGATAGAATTTTGCACCATTAACAATTTATTAATTGTAAATATGTTTTATAAGAAACATAAACGCAGGTTATACACATGAATTTCACCTGACGTTATGTATAGGTATCAGCTCAATTACCTCTGTGGAAAGAATCACTGAAGAAGCTCAGTATCAGCTGTGAAAACTAGACCAGGTACTGATTGTGGAATATACCATCAACTACTCATATCCAAGTTCAATCTGAAGCTAAGGAAAATGAAATCAAATCTATGAAAACCAAAATATAACCCTGAGTCTATCCCACATGAATTTCAAAACCATCTCAGGAACAGGTTTGAGGCCTTGTACACTAATGAGGGAAGACCAGACAAGATGTGGAAAGATATCAAGAGTATCATCCAGGAAGAATGCAAAAGGTCATTACAAAGACAGAGGAGAAAGAAAAGACCAAAATAGACGTCAGAGGAAACTTTGAGTATTATATTAGAGTGCCAAGAAGCCAAAGAAAAAGAAGAAATTAAGATATTAAGGAGCTGAACAGATGAGTTCAAAGGGCAGTGCATGAAAACAAAGTATTACAATGAAATGTGCAAAGAGCTGGAGTCAGAAAATCAAAGGGGCTGAACTAGCTCAGCTTTTTTTAAGCTCAACAAACTGAAGAATAAATTCAA